AGAATGAAGGGAGAGAATAGAGTGAGGGGAGAGAATAGAATGAAGGGAGAGAATAGAGTGAAAGGAGAGAATAGAATGAAGGGAGAGAACAAGGATAGTAAAGAGTAAAAAGAAAATATATAGAGACAATATAGGTGAGAGCTTAGGAGAGAAGATGAGAGTGAAGGGGAAGAGAACAAGATAAAGGAGAGTTGAGTCACCCGAGGGGAGAGAGAGAGAGAGAGAGAGAGAGAGAGAGAAGGGAGAGAGGGGGGGGAGGGGGAGAGAGGAGAGAGAGAGAGAGAGAGAGCTATTTTAACACAGCTGGTCCACGTGGAGGTGCTCAGCCGAAGTCTCGTAAGATCTTTATAGTCTCGACATAAACATAAAACACACATGACTGATGTGCACCTGAACTTAATCTCTGTACGTACACACACATGCACACACACACACACACACACACACACACACACACACACACGTACACACACACACACGTACACACACACACATATACGCGCATGCAAGAGCGTACACAGAGAAAATACAAGAAAACGTGTACACATATTAACACAATTATATACACATCACTGAACGCACAAACACGCACACACAAACGATTCCTGAACAAATATTCACACATGTAAACACACACACACACACACAAACACTTCAAACCCGCACATAAATACGCACATGAATAAAAACACTATACCAAACATTCCATTAGACTCACGGGAAGTCCTTACATGGCCACATTTGTGTGTACGGAAGTAATGGTGTACACGGATAACTGGGTGTACTGTTTTATACACACACACACACACACACACACACACACACACACACACACACACACAATTCCTGGAGCAGTGTGACGCATATTGAACACTCCCCTTGAGACCCTCATACGAACCCCGGATTTAGGGAAGCGTGCCTCCCTCACACTCTCTTCCCTTTGCTCCCTCCATCCCTCCCTCCTCCTCTATCTTTATGTTAACCCATGTTACACACTCCTCCCTTCCCTGTTCGTCTCTCTCTCCTCTTTCCCCATTCTGTCTACTTCTTTCTCTCTCTCTCTCTCTTCATTATTCCTCCCACCTCCATTTGCTTGAGTACTTCATAACACATATGCTGTACAGTATACATTTTATACAGACAATATACAGTATACTTACACATATCTGTATATATGTGGCATAATCGCCCCGACACATTCAGTATAGATGGTTTATTCATATATGAGTGTGGTGGCAGCAGCTTAACTGATTACTGTGGTGAGAGGGGGAGGGAGGGGGGGAGAGGGAGGAGGGAGGGAGGAGAGGGAGGGGAGGGGAGGGAAGGGGGAGGGAGAGAGGGGGAGAGGGAGGGAGGAGGGAGAGAGGGGAGAGAGGGGAGGGAGGAGAGAGAGGGAGAGGGGAGGGAGGAGGGGGAGGGGGGAGGGAGAGAGAGGGAGGGAGAGGAGAGGAGGAGAGAGGGAGAGAGGGAAGGGGCGGGAGGAGAGAGAGGGGAGGGAGGGGAGGGAGGGAGAGGAGGGGGAAGGAAGGAGAGATGGAGGGAAGGAAGAGAGACGGAAGGTTATGAGGAGAGACTAAGAAAGAGAAAGGGGAGAGGGGAAGAAGAGAGAGAGGGAGAGAGGGGAAGAAAGGAAGAGAAGGAGGGGGAGGAGAAGAAGGAAGTGGAGAGGGGAGAGAGGGTAAAACCCACCCTCAGAGGGGAGTCCCCTTTTTGTGGGTTAACACTTGCCAGTCACCCGGGAACCCCTGCCATTACCACCACCACTACCACTACTACCACCATCACCACGATTACCACCACTACCCTACTAACACCACCACCACTATCACCAAAATCACAATTACCACCATCACAACTGTCACCACCATCAGCACCATCACCACTACTATCACCACAGTCACCACCACTACTACCACAACCACCACCATTGAATCAGTAGGTAATAAGCAAGTCAATTTCCCGGTGAAGGAAGTTTGTGAATTATTGTACGGCATCATTGGCTGCATCTCTCTCTCTCCACACATTAAGGATAATGAGGTTGGGACACAAATTTGATCTCGTCAGCTGAAGTGATCAATCAAATTTTTAATCTCTCTCTCTCTCTCTCTTCGTCCCGTTGAGGCAGATAAATGGGCGACGTCATGGGTGAAATATACTGGACTGGGTGTTGATGAGCCTCATTCCTTCTCTTTCTCCTCTCTCCTTCTTTTCCTTCTCCTTCCCTTTCTATAACTTCGTCCTCTTTCATCCCATCCCACCCCAATTCTTCTATTCCCTCCATTCCACCTCCCCTCCTTTATTCCTAATCTCCTTACCTCTCATATCCCTCTTCCTTTTCCTTCCAGCAGTTTTTCCTCAGCACTCGCAGGGAAAAAAGCATTAGTTTTACCAAACCATAATGTCAGGCCATTAACTGATCAAATGGACTAGCAATTGATCCTAACTTAATCAAACCCAAAAGGTGCGGCGTCCAAATGGATACATAGCTCGCCCCCGGGCCTAAGAGTTCATTGGTTCGATCCCCGGGCATTCAAATCCTATCCACTTGTATATAGTTAATCAGGTTAAATTACCCTATTTTATCTAACCATCTTGAACTGTTCCCCATTCTCCCCACAGGAATTAACACTCCCCTCTCAACCAATCATTCCCCACCTCTTCACGCCTCCCTATCTCTTTGCTAACCTAACCTAACCTAACCTAACCTAACCTAGCCTAACCTAACTCTACTCCAACTTCCCCATTCTCCCCATTCCTTGCCAGTCCTCCTCCCATCCATACCCCACACCCCCACTCTCCCTCCCCATCCCGCCTCCTCCCTATCCATACCCTACACCCCCACCTCCTCCCCTCCATCCATACCCCACACCCCCACCTCCTCCCCATCCATACCCTACACCCCCACCTCCTCCCCATCCATACCCCACACCCCCACCTCCTCCCCATCCCCGCCTCCTCCCTATCCATACCCCTACACCCACCTCCTCCCTATCCATATCCCACACCCCACCTCCCCATCCATACCCTTACACTCCCTCCTCCCATCCATACCCTACACCCTACCTCCCCATCCATATCCTTACACCCCACCTCCTCCCCACCACTAAAAGTTATACTCCCAGATGGTCTTATACACAACTTGGAAACCATCAGTCAAAATAATGAATTCTCAAGAAATTGCCCATCGATCGATAACTTACACAGCCGAAGGTGTTGAGTGCAGGGTGACGATGAAGGCTATATACACGTCAGGCAGAGAGAGAAGGAGGAGGAGGAGGAGGAGAGAATTATTCAAGGTATCACAGCTTCTCGAGAAGTTGTTCAGGTGAAATATTCTCTTCATAAATACCTGTGATACAAAAAGCTCTTTAAGGGAGATAGAGGAGAGGAGACTGTAAAGGAATGAATGGATAGAAGGAGAAAGAGAAACAAGATAGAGACACATGGCAGAGGGAGATTGAGAGAAAAGAGGAGACTGGAAGAGAACGAGAGGAGAGCCAAGAGAAAGAGAAAAACCGAAAGAGAAATCAAAGTGATATGGTGTTTCTTTCTCTTTTTCTTATATATCCATATCTAACCTTTTTTCTCTCCCCTCTCCTCCTCTCTCCTCCCTCTCCCTCCGTCTCTGACTACATTACTGCGACTCAGGAACAAGAAGGAACTACCCCTCCTACCTTTTACTGCCTAAGAGCTCTTATCTTACCTCCAGCTTATATTAAAGCCGACAGCTCGGCTTAAAGGACAATTCAGCTTACTTAAGGGTTTTGTTGCGCTAGATAAACTAGCTGGAAGCTTAGCTGGCCAGGAGGTGTAAGTTATCCCTGCCTTGTTATGATCTAGAAGAAGTGAGAAATGCAGAGAGACCTGACAGTTGTAGCATTAGTAAATATGACAAATTTTGTAACAAGAGGTACCGGTATGGCCAGCATAAGGACAGAATGTGACACTGTCAAAGACTTCAGGCCACCTGACTTACTGTATCTTGAACTATGTAATTACTTCATTGAATCAGGTGTGCTTGAGGACATTCTTGCTGTTTATCCCAAATTTGCTAGCCCACACTGATTAGTCTTCAATTAGAATATGACTCCAATGTATGTGATCCACTGACCCATATATGCTGCTGGTGAATGTGATGTATTTTCTTTTTGTGTACGAACCTCTGTTCTGCGTGCAGTGAACAGTGGCATTACCCACATGAATCTGACCTATATATAGTGTGTCAATGAATATGATGCATTCTTTGTGTACGAACCTCTGTCCTGTATGGCAGTGAAAGTGACATTACCCACATGAATCTGACCGACGTATATGTATCTTTATTCCGTTATGTCTTTCCTTCGTCTGTCTTTTTCGGTCACTAATGGAGTTTGTTATTTTGTTATTTTCTTTTTTGGTTTAGGTTAACCCATTTTCTCTCTCTCTCTCATTTTCATCTCTCTCCTCTCTCCTCATTCCTTCTTCTTCTCTCTCACCTGTCTCTCCCTCATTCACGTCCAATTATCTCCTTTCTTTCTTTCCTGTTACCTTTTCTTTTTTTATCAACATACCATTTGCTCTCCCTCTTTATCTTTTTGCTTCTTCCTCCCTCCCTTCCTCTCTCCTTCACATACTTTCTCTCCTCTTCCCTCCTCCTCTCCCATTTCCCTGTCCCTCTAACTCTTTCATCTATCCCTCTCCTCCATTTCCTCTCGCTCCTCTCCAGGCTCACTTCCAACCATGCTTAGATACGTCTTCTCCCATTCCTCCCCACCACCCTTTATTCTCATTCTCTTTGGGTGCCTTGGGGGTTCAGGTGGTCCCCAAGCTCAAAGTCTGTGTGGTCCCCTGGGTGCCCAAAGTTCAGGTGGTCCCCTGGGGTGCCTAGTCTGTGTGTCCCCTTAAAACAAAGTCAGTGGTCCCTCTGGGTGCCCAAAGTCCAGGCATGGTCCCCTGGGTGCCTAAAGTTCAGTTGGTCCCCTGGGTGCCCAGTTCAGGTGTCCCCAAAATGAAGTCCAGGCATGGTCCCTGGGTGCCCAAAGTCTCAGGTATCCCCTGGGGTGCCTAAAGTCAGTGTCCCCTGGGGTGCCCAAAGTCCAGGTAACCCTCAAAAGCCCAAAAACTCAGGGGTCCCCAAAGCCCAGTTCAGTGTCCTGGGTGCCAAAGTCAGGTCCCCTAAAGCCAGTCTCAGTATCCCCTGGGGTGCCTAAAGTCCAGTATCCCCTAAAAACAAAGTTCAGTTGGTCCTAAAGCCTACAAACTCAGTGCCTAAAGTCTGTGGTCCCCAAATGAACAGGGTCCCAATAAAGTCTGTGCAGTCCCCAAAACAGTCCAGTGGTCCCCTGGGCCACCACCCAAGTGCCCAAAGTTCAGGTGGTCCTGGGGTGCCTAAACACCCAAACCAAAGCCAGTTGGTCCCCCTGGGGCCCAAAGTCCAGGGTCCAACCTCAGTGCCAAGTTCAGGTGGTCCCCAAAATGCAGCCAGTGCCTCCAAAAGCTCAGGTGCAGATCCCCTGGGTGCCTAAACAGTGGGTCCCCTGGGGTGCCTAAGCCCAGGCACCTGGTCCCAAAACTGGTCCCCAAATAAAGTTCAGGTCCCAAAGGCCAAACCCAGGACCAAAATGGTGCCACCCCAAAAGTCTCAGGTGGTCCCCAAAATGGAACAGGTCCCCCAAACCAGTCCATGGTCCCCCTGGGGCAGTCCAGTGGTCCCCAAATCCCCAAAGCCCAGTCCAGGTCCCGCGCCCAAAACAAGTTCAGTGGGTCCCCTGGGGTGCCCAAAGTTCAGGTGGTCCCCAGCCAAGTCCAGGTGGTCCCCTGTGCCTAAAGTTCAGGTGGTCCCCAAAGCCCAGTTCAGGTGGTCCCCAAAGCTCCAAAGTTCAGGCGTCCCCGGGGTACCCAGTCTAGGGTGATCCCTAAAGCTCAGGTGGTT